ATCACGTCGACTCCAAGCCATATGTTCCTCCGAAGCGGAAGGGCCATTCATCCTTGATATGGTAGAGGCACGGAAATCCTCCACCAGTTGTTCAACTGCAGTCTCATCAGAATCTGTTGATGATGTTCTTCGACCTGAATCGCCTTGAGAATGGATAGATTCGTTGTGAATTACTTTGCTTACAAGTTGCGGAGCCTGATAATAAGAAAACGCACCATGTCCTTGGAAGAACAATGGCGACATCGATGAGTTCTCTGTCCCATTACGGATTCTCTGTGCGTAAGTGATGGAAGGAAAGAGGGAATGCGTTTGAATTTATCATCGCTGTGGATAAATGTCGGAGAGGGAGTGGAATGGATTAAAGTGTCCTACCAATAGATTGAAGTAAGAACTGGGCTTCTGTCGAGTCTGACTGCGTTGTCGTAGAGCATCTGACCAAACAAGTCGTTTGGGTTTATCAGTGAAGGACCGAGATCGTGAGAGAGTGCTCTAAAGTGGTGAATAAGGAATAAAGGTGTCACCAACGCCATATTGATTATCATTTTACCGCCAACGAAGATTAGTTAGTGTTAAGCAAGGTCAATGAATATTTTTCGGTAGAAAAATTCATACAAAAAAGCTGAATAATTTCACAAACCGGTCTCACCTCAGATAAGTCCGTTTCATTACTTGTTAAACCCAGATTTGCAAGGTCAAAAGGTTGACGCTTGTGAGGATTACTTGCTAGGGCCTCTCGTAGAGCAACCTTGAAATGGAGTGTTTAAGAGAATAAATTTATACTTCTGCCTCTGCGACTCATGGTAGGTAAGGTCTTCTGTGTGTTGTTAGAAAAAAAAGGAAAAGAATGCATGTCTTGCTTTGGAATTATGTGAAATGAATTCAAAGAATTGCCATTTTTACAACACTTCAAGAGGCTGAAGGTAACTTGGGCAGTAAAACCCTCCTTAAAAAGCAACACCATCCCTGCTATCTAAACCTCATGACTCAGGAGTTGGCTTCGAAGTAATAGGCACGTATTTACTTCCTCTCACAACTTAGTGTCATCTAAGCCCCAATAGTACACACTTTCCAGTGACAGTTAGATTGTATAAGTTGAGATAGAATGGCCTCACCTCCTGCCGCAAGCCATCCAGGTAGAGTTCACTGCTAACTGACTGAATGGTTCGCATGTACTGGCCAGCAAGGGATTCGGCAGATGTGGTCTCCTCCTTCTCCACCTCTACCATGGTTGAGTTTGGGGTGTACGGTGCCATCTGGAAAGATATTAACGCATAAAGCATTGATACGAATCCAAAAGGATGAATATCACAGACTACTAAAACAACACACTTTCAAAGTTCGCAACGGCTCTTGTCAAACCGATTTGACAATCACAAGGCTAGGGAATCGACGTCATATGATACAATGCTTCAGCAGGTATGTTCTGATGATTCAGGCATTACCCACCCCACACTTATAAGGCATCCATCCATCATTGTGTGCATGTTTCTGGACTATAGGCAATGGTCTTATCAAAGGCCAAACAATGGCGTTGTCGCCTTCATAACCTTGGACTGTGGACATGAACAACTCGGTGTGTGGAAGCACTCATGATTTTTCATGAATGAATCACGTGACATGATAAAAGCAAGTAGTCGTGAAGAAAAGGAAAATAATGCCACACCATCCCCATCCTCACCTCCATTCCTAGAGTATGATATTGTAAACCAATTTTCTTATTGCAAGAAATGATCCAAACAAGTAAGAAGAAAAGACAAATTTACTTGAGGTATTCCAGCTACGAACTGATACGCCACTCCAGTCCAGAGCATCTCCTAAAACGACAGACAAACCTCTTGGAGAATTGCCTCATGAAAGGGTAATGTGTTTTTTCCTTCTAGCTTGCACAAACCTTCTCATTTGAGACCATACGAGAAAAGGGGGTTTTGAACAGATTTGAAAGAGCATTTCTTCGACAAATTCGTACGCATATCCTCTTTCTTAACACCAGTGACATTAACGTCGGCTTGCTTATAAGAATATGAACCTAAATGCAAAAGGATAAGACTAATTTAGAAGAGTATAGTATAAAAAAT